ATCTATTTTTTATAGAAAATATACTAACTTCATCCTGTTATAATTATGTTTATATTGCTACCCGTCGCATTTCATGTTTATTGCTGTGACATCACAATTTTTGATACCTTGCATAATCGAATGCATTTTAGAGGTTATTTCAAATTTTTTAGCCTTTGTGAATTTTATTTTGGAGAAGTGATGGGTTGAATGGTAAGACTCTGGACCGATGTCTCTAGAGGCCAGAAACCTACTTTTTACTCAAATTTACATCTATTATTGCGATAACTCAAGACATTTTATTTTGGAACTTGGATTGAAAAAATGCAAACGGTGTTTGGGTTAAACATTTTTCAAATTAAAACAATGTCAATTGGCATCAGAGCTTAAACAACAAATAATTTATTTAAGCATTGTTGTAAGGGTTACGGAGATGAGCGTACAGCAAGTTAAACTGCTATAGTTTTTTTTTAATTGTTATTAGATTTGTCCAATTGATTGAATACCATACATAAAAACATGTTTTCAAACTCCTGGAAAACCTTGTTTAATAGCGAATACAGATTTTGAGGGAATATTTGAGTGAAAATATGGCAAATTCGCAGGCTTGCTGTGATGAGGTTAATGTTACAAAAGAGGGGCTTTGTGAAAATTGTGTAGAAGAAAAAAGAAATATTGCAACCCACAGGACCTTAGATTGTAGTAGGTTTTTGATAACGTACTTGTGCGCTAGGCCAGAGAGTTTATTGGAATTATCTTAATGATCCAATTATTTCCCTAATGTATTTGTTGTGATAAATGTTTAAAATACTGCGTTATCCCTCTTTGGTGCTAAGGTGTAGTTAAACATGCCTTGAACGCATGGAGTTTTCAAAGGTAATTTGTCATTGAAAGTCGCACTTGTGAAGACTTGATTGTGTTAACAGGCTATTCCATCCGCGTGAATGGTTTGCTGTCCTTTCACTAATCGGACAAAAATTTAAAATTCTTCAAATGATGTGCTACAAAAAATAATGATGAACAAACTGTCAGTCTGCAACACTAGGTTACAAGGTAGGAGAATGACCTTGCTTTGAAACCAGTCTGCAGTCTGCTCGTTGACCTTGACACTGGATGCCTTCCTCACAAGTATATTATGAGTACGTAATTTCACAATGAGAACACTCGATCATATGTGTACACTAGTTTTGTGTGTGATAAGTATCTTAACTAAATTACGTTGAAATTGTTTACTTATCTCATTACTCTGAAGATAATTATCCATAAAGATTAATACATGCATATTTTCTTTAAAAATAAGTAAACCATCTACAAATTCTGAACGTTTATGTTTTTATGGTTATGTTTCAATTAATTTGATGTTTTAATGTCAAAAGTATTGCTATGTAACGTAAACCTCCACAATCTATATAATTAATACTCACCCTGTATATAATTAATACGCTACATGAAACTTTGTTGGTTGAACTCCTCCACAATTTTTTAACCGATTGTATCCATTGACGTCTTATTGGAAAGAGCGTGTCGCGTAGATTTGCAAACTGGCCTTACATAAAAGGTACATTGGGCTCTGCCCCAGTGGCTTTGAAAGTTCCCATGTTATCCTTATGAAGAACATAATTGTTTACATTTTGATCAGCTGTATGATTGCTGTTATTTATTTTGCAATTCAATGAAACGCAATTAGTACATTTACCATTTGAGTTTGTGTATTTATCGTTGTTTAGTGTCGCTATGACGGATCGTGTTAGCATGATTGTAACTTAAATTTTTGCGTTTATCGTTGTTTTGTGTAGTTATAATTTTTTATTTGTTGATTTTTTACCTCTGACGCCACAACAACGAAAAATAGACCGGAGGCGTGATAACGACCACAGCTACAGAACAGTGTTACGTAATAGGCTTAACTCAACAAAGTCAACACCCTACACAATCTTAACTATTAGGTCACAGATGCTCCCTAACACTAGCCCAAAACGAATTGTTGTTCAATTGGCCCTCTATCAATGACCTGTGTTGCCTCAGCGAGGCATTTTTAGAAGGTGAAAACCGGCCGGATTGCTTTAGGTCAATAACGAATATAAACATGGTGTGAGTTACACACCGGTAATCTTTGAGTTGACTCACTCATTGTAAATATGACTGTTATTAACTCCTGTAATACTTTGCAATTACTCGAATTCGAGCAACATGTAAACTAGTAAGTATTAATGATTGTTGGTAAACTAGACCTCAATATCGTTATAATTTTCCACATTGAACCTGGGTTAAGGGTAAAAATGTCGTGTTAATATCAGCTGACTGAGAGTATCTCCTATTATCCTATGGGTGAACAACTTTTTTTTCAGTAATAAATAGTATATTTCATCACTAGTGCCTAAAGTGACTCTTTTTGCCCTTGTAGTGAACTCTATTTTTTGCCATATTGCATCATTAACATACAAAGTTAGAAAACAAAATACTTTTTATGTATAGATAACCTCTCAAAACGACTTCCAGCTTGTTTTCAATTCATCTAATGCAATTAAGCAGCTGTTTATTCAATAATTTCCTATATTACGATTGTGTTTACAGTACATTATACCATCGTCAAACAATCGAGAACAATATGCTAAAACCTTACCTAATTCAATCGATAAATAATTTCGATACGATTGCCACAATCAAAATTTATAACAGCTGATCTTTACTCTCCAGAGACAAAAAAAAAGAAAATTTTTACCCCCTAAAAATGTTACTTTAGACCTGTATGATGAAAATATTTTTTTAACCGTACTTTTTACAGTGAGTTGTGCGATTTTGAATAAAGGTGTCATCCTAAATTTTATTTCAAATTGCTTGAGTTATTTTTCCATTTAACAGTTTATTTCCATTATTTATGATGTTTTAAGAGAAAATTAAAATTGTATAAGATTTAAATTTATAGATAGTACTCAAATTTAATCAAAATCAAGGGCTGTACACATCACTTTAAAAAAATATTTTTTTTTCGCTCAGGGAAATATACATTTACTAGAAACTGTGTTAGAAACAATGATATTGCTACAAACATGTTTGCAACCATAATTAATGTTTGACCCCAAATGTTAAACCAGTATTGGGTTTTTGTATGCATAGATTTAAAAATATTATTTATGACCCATTGTACAGCTAGCAATCTTACAGCTTTACAGCCCATGACCATTGAAAATGACACTGCTTGTTAAGCTGTTGGAATAACATGTTTAGCAAACAAAACATTTCAAACAGCTTTTAGCTTCCGTCCTTTTTTAGTAGTCAATGTTTATGAGAGATATATTTCTTCAAGACGGTAGCTCCAGTGATCATTGCTCAGCGAATCCCGCTCTTTAGATGTGTCTTTGACAACACACCTTTTTTTTGAAGTTTTTTTTTATCGTAATTAGTCTATGTCAGACTGTGTGTTGAACTTAGTGTTTATGGTCGTTACTAAGAATTTTAAGTAAATTTTACAAAAGTTGAGTTGGCAACGTTCCAATATTTTTACTTCATATGGTCACGTTCCAGTTTATGCATTCTATTTTTTTAACTGACCTAAATCTTGCTTTCATTTTTTCATGACTACAGAGTGTCAAAGTTAAACGAAATTCAACTTTCAAAACAATTAAGGACCGGGTGACAAACAGTAGTGTCATACATTTTAACCTATTCAATATATGATTTAAACGTTCAAACGTTGTGTCTGCTCGATCAGCAGCCTATAGTGGTTAGCTTATTAGCGTAATGGCTATTAATTAACAGCTGGGTCTAAGGAATATGTCACCCTTAGTCACTAACAAGACAAGATCAAGCCACTCATCCTACACCTATCTCCATTCATACTTGGCTTAAAATACTTTGTATGGTCGCCATTTCATTGTAAAATATTAAAGCGGTAAATTTTTATGTTTGAAAATGAGAGGAGGGGTATTAAGTCAGATGTGACCAGTTGCCATTCGGTCTTTAACTTTCATAGTGAGAGGACCAGCTTACATAGATCGATACCAGCGGCTTACATAGATCAGCTACTCGAGATGTATCCTTTTCTGATAAAAACTAATAAAATGCATAAACTACTTTTCGGTGAGATATGTAACGAGTTTTATGTCAATGACTTTGCATGAGACATGTTTTTATAATTTGTTGTATTTTCAGCTGTATCCTTTTAAAAGTGTATAGTATAAAGCTTAATTATTTGGATAATTGGTCTAGATGTGTGATAAGGTATTTTTACAGTATATTCAACAACACAACATTTTTTTATAGAAGGTCTGCTATTTAACGAAACATCCGTTCTAGCAAATTTAAAGTTTAGAGAATAAGCTATTAAATCTTGTTAAAAAGCAAATATTTTGGATTTTCCTTAACTAGAATTTCAGCATTATGTTCTCCTGCTCTATTTGTGATAAGACTTTTACGCGACGTAATAACATGCTGCGCCACCTTCGATCTCACGTCGAGGAAAAACAACACATTTGTAAAAACTGTGATAAATCTTTTGGAAGAAGGTCAGACTTGATGGAACACGAGAAATTTGCCTGCAGAGGAAAAGTTCCACCAAAAAAACCAAAAATAGTTCCCCAAGAGAATGAATCACCATTCATCGAGGTCGAGAAGGCTTTGAAAAACAGAATCAAAACGTTTGTAGCTCAACCAGACTCTAGCGATCACGATACAGTGTTGAAGAAATTAAAACTTGCAATAGTGGAAAAGATTCAATTTATTCTACTCACCTACTCAGCTGTTAAGTTTAACATCTTTGTTGAATCTGAATTCGCAAAAATAGCTGAGGATAATTGTCAACGGAGTTTTAAAACGAAAAACATAATCGTTTATAAAACTACTGATTTAAATCCTATTCTTGAAGATGCGTTTGAGAATTTGAGAACGGAAAAAAGTGAATGTGAAATGAAGAAATCGGGATGGACCTTTAGTAAGGTGAAACGAGTTGAGCTGAGGATCAACCGATCAGCATTATGTTCTCCTGCTCTATTTGTGATAAGACTTTTACGCGACGTAATAACATGCTGCGCCACCTTCGATCTCACGTCGAGGAAAAACAACACATTTGTAAAAACTGTGATAAATCTTTTGGAAGAAGGTCAGACTTGATGGAACACGAGAAATTTGCCTGCAGAGGAAAAGTTCCACCAAAAAAACCAAAAATAGTTCCCCAAGAGAATGAATCACCATTCATCGAGGTCGAGAAGGCTTTGAAAAACAGAATCAAAACGTTTGTAGCTCAACCAGACTCTAGCGATCACGATACAGTGTTGAAGAAATTAAAACTTGCAATAGTGGAAAAGATTCAATTTATTCTACTCACCTACTCAGCTGTTAAGTTTAACATCTTTGTTGAATCTGAATTCGCAAAAATAGCTGAGGATAATTGTCAACGGAGTTTTAAAACGAAAAACATAATCGTTTATAAAACTACTGATTTAAATCCTATTCTTGAAGATGCGTTTGAGAATTTGAGAACGGAAAAAAGTGAATGTGAAATGAAGAAATCGGGATGGACCTTTAGTAAGGTGAAACGAGTTGAGCTGAGGATCAACCGATACAACCCTTTGCGAGGCTCACGTCACATTCAACTTCCTAAACGAATTTCTGATAGGAAAGCTGTGATAAACATTAGAAATTCTGATGACTTTTGTTTCAAGTACGCGATCCTGTCAAAACATGTCACCAACGAACCCTGGATAGTGTCCCAATACATAAATAACAAAGAACTTGAAGATAAATATGATTGGAACTGTATTTCATTCCCAGTAAAACTTGATGAGATCAAACAATTCGAAAGAGCAAACAGTGTGTCTGTTAATGTGTTTGGACTTACTGAACAGGCTGACGTTTACCCGTTAAAAGTGTGTGAAGAAGAGAAAAGAAACCATTTCGATTTACTGTACGTCACAGATTTAAATACATCACATTATTGTCTGATAACGGATTTTAATAGATTAGTTCATTCCCAATTTACAAACAATCACAATAAAATCAAGGTCTGTAAGCGTTGTTTTGCTCATTTCAACGATTTCTACGACAAAACTGCTGAGGAAAAATTGATTGCTCATCAACTTGAATGTCCGAAAGTTCAGCGATGTGAATTTCCATCCTACGACACCATTTCGTTTAAAAATGACCATCGTTCAAAGAAAGTTAGGTTTGTGATATATGCTGACTTTGAAACACTCCTGCAGCCAGTTCATGCTTGTGATGGTGACCCGGAAAAGTCTTGGACAAGTGCATATCAACATCATACGCCTTACAGCTACGCATACTTGTTGAAAGACTCTGAGGATCAGCACACACAACTGCGAGTGTATCAAGGACAGGACGCTGCCAAACATTTTGTAAAAAGCATGAACGATGATATACAATTCATAGACAAGATTTTGTTCGGTGACAAGAAGCTTCAAGTACCTAAGCTTACGCAGAAGGAACAGGAAGACTTCGATGCTGCTACTGCCTGCCACATTTGTAAAAAAGGAAACTTTACCCAGGAAAACTGCAGGGTAAGAAATCATTGTCATATCAGTGGGAAATATCTTGGAGTCGCCCATAGACACTGCAATCTGTTTTATCAAGATCAACATTTTGTGCCCTGCTTTATCCACAACCTGTCAGGATACGACTCTCATTTTATAGTCAGAGAACTGGGCTATGACACAAATGAAATTAAAGTTATACCCAACACTGAAGAAAAATACATCTCATTTTCAAAAATGGTTAAAGTGAAACATGCCAAAAATAATGTGATGGAATTGAGATTTTTAGATTCCTATAGATTTATGCAGGATAGTCTGAGCAACTTGGCAAATAACCTACCAAAACCTGATTTTATTGAAACAAAAAGAAATTTTCCTGAAAATACCGAACTGCTTACAAAAAAAGGGGTATTCTGCTACGACTACATGACTGCATTCGAAAAACTTGAAGAAAGACAACTTCCACCAAAGTCTGCATTTTACAGTAGACTAAGTGAAGAGGAGATAAGCGATGAAGACTACAGTCATGCGGAAAACGTGTGGAAAATTTTCAATATAAAAACATTAGGAGAGTATTCTGACCTGTACGTAAAATGTGATGTCTTGATTCTGTGTGATGCCTTTGAAAATTTCCGCAAAACCTGTCTATTGACATACAACTTAGACCCTGCCTACTACTTTACAACACCAGGACTGGCATGGGATGCAATGTTGAAATATACAGACATTCAGCTCGAAATCATTAAGGACATGGACATGTTTTTGATGGTTGAGAAGGGAATTCGAGGCGGAATCACACAGTGTATCAAACGTCACGCCGTAGCCAACAACAAGTATATATAAAAAAACCCTAATGTGTCTAGCAAGTATTTAATTTATCTTGACGCAAATAACTTATATGGGAGTAGGGTACGCTGTACTTGGGGCCCCCAATCAGAGAGCAGCATTTCATCCCCACCCCTCCCCTAGGCCACGCCCATCAGCCAATCAGAGAGTAGCATTCCCCCTAGGCCACGCCCCCTAGCCAATCAGAGCGCAGCCCTTTCTCTAGGCCACGCCCCCTAGCCAATCAGAGAGCAGCATTCCCTCTAGGCCAATCAGAGAGCAGCATTTCCTCTCGGTCAATCAGAGAGCAGTATTTTCCTTAAGCCGTGCCCTAGAATTTCCACGTGGTCTAACCTCACATGTGTTCTAACCTCACTTTTTATTTTTCCCGCCAAATAACATAACCTCACTTCCCCCAGCAAATATTGTAAATGTGATTGGTAAGGATTGAACCAGTGAACCTCTTAGATCAACGACTTATGCTACTCCTACTATGATACAACACCATACTAAAAATCAACACATTACCCCGACTGGAAATGAAACGTTTGGTAATTGGTAAGAATCGAACCTGTGAACCTCTGGCTCATACACAGCCTCATACACAAGTAGGGGTGGCAGTACTTGAGGTGAAATCACGTTACCACCCTCAGGTAAACCATCTGATCAGCTGATCCTACCATAACCTTATTTGTATATGTATGCTTTCCCGCCAGTCGTTCCCGCCAGCTGACGTAATCTTAATTGTTTATATAGGTACTTAACAAACCAAATTAATTATAGGATAAAAAGTGTGACCGGGTATCGACCCCGGGCCTCCTAGGTGATGGATAATGTCTAAGCCATCCAGCTATGGAAGCAGTTGTAACATATATTGTAGTCGTCAACTGTTCAACCACCTTAATTGTGACCACATACGCAGCTGTGAAACATAATTTCAAGGTGAAATCCTTCCTGCCATAACCTCACACTACGTATTGTATACGTATCTCGCCAATTAACCTCTCCCCAGCTGTATTGCCAAATCACATAACCTCACTCTTGTGCCATCTGCTTTCCCGCCATGACCTCACTTTACGTAAATGTAGTTATTTCTATTTAATTATTAAACACAGTTACAGATACAGTGTTTATAGTGGTAAATGACAACCTTACTTTACATATACAGGGTGTGTAAAAAAACATTATATTTTTATTTTATTTCATACATATCTAAATGTAGTAGTCCATAACAAATGTGAAACAAATGATAAATCCAAAATTAAAAATAGCTGAAAGAGGGCTTAAGCGGAACTTTACCGTTGAGTATAAAAAACGGCCTTTGTAAAGGCCACCAAATGTTGGATGTTAAATTTACATTTCATAGATGTTATGTACTCTTGGTATGTCCAATGGGGTAACGGGTTGTGTAAATGGTTCTTCCTAGCAGTGGGCTATGTATGAGGCTGTGTATGAGCCAGAGGTTTGCGGGTTCAATCCTAACTATTCGCTAAATACCAAGTAACTGTCACCAAACGTTTTATTTTCGGTTGGGGTGTTTTTTGTATAGTGTTGTAACGTAGTGGGAGTAGTATGAGTCCTTGATCTCAGAGGTTCTCGGGTTCGATCCTTACCAATCACCATACGTTTCATTTCCGCTTGGGATGTTTTTGGTATAGTGTTGTATTGTTGTGGGAGCAGTTTGGGTCGTTGATCTCAGAGGTTTGCGGGTTCGATCCCTACCAACCACCAACTGCTTCCCTTCTGGTTAGGGTGATATTTTGAGTTTTAGTATCGTAGTAGGAGTAGTTACTGTAACTTGTTTAGAATGTGGACCTATGATCCTGGAGGTTCATGAGTTCGATCCTTACCAATCACCAATCGTGTCATTCCCGGTTGGGGTGTTTTCTTTTGTTGGTATGGTGATGTATTATAGTTAACCTTTTGTATATAAAACTATGGTCCCAGAGGTTGAAGTGTTCGATCCTTACCAATCACCAACTGCTTCCCTTTTTGTCAGGTTGATATTTTTATTTTTAGTATGTTGTTGTAGTGTAACGGGAGTAGCGTGAGTCATTTATCTCGGAGGTTCACGGGTTTGATCCTTACCAACCACAGTTTGTATCATATCCGGTTGGCGTTATCTTTTGTAATGTATTGTAGTTAACTGTTTGTATATGAGCCTAAGGTTGTGGGTTCAATCCTAACTATTCACTTAACGTTTCATTTCTGGTTGGGGTATTTTTTCTTCTATGGTGTTGTGTTGTAGCAGGAGTAGTGTGAGTCCTTGATGCTAGAGGTTCACAGGTTCGACTCTAACCAACCACAAAACATGTTATTTCCGGTTGGGTTAGCGCTAGAGGTTTACGGGTTCAATTCTAACCCGATTGGAATGGTTAATGGGTTCGATTTTAACCCGATTGGGTTAGTTTTAGAGGTTCACGGGTTCGATTTTAACCCGGTTGGGTTAGTTTTAGAGGTTAACGGGTTCGATTTTATTCCGATTGGGTTAGCGCTGTAGATTCACGGGTTCAATTCTATCCCGATTGGGTTAGTTAACGGGTTCGATTTTAACCCGAATGGGTTAGTTTTAGAGGTTCACGGGTTCAATTATAACGTGATTGGGTTAGTTTTAGAGGTTCACGAGTCGGATCTTAACTCGGTTGGGTTGGTTAATGGGTTCGATCCTAACCTGATTGGATTAGTTTTAGAGGTTCACGGGTTCAATTCTAACCTGATTGGGTTAGTTTTAGAGGTTCACGAGTTGGATCTTAACTCGGTTGGGTTGGTTAATGGGTTCGGTCCTAACCTGATTGGGTTAGTTTTTGAGGTTCACGGTTCGATTTTAACCCGGTTGGGTTAGTTTTAGAGGTTACTGGGTTCAATTCTAATTCGACTGGGTTGGTTAAGTGGTTTGATCCTAACCTGATTGGGTTAATTTTAGAGGTTCACGAGTTGGACTTTAACTCGGTCGGGTTGGTTAATGGGTTCGATCCTAACCTAATTGGGTTAGTTTTAGAGGTTCACGAGTTCGATTCTAACTTGGTTGGGTTGGTTAACGGGTTCGATCCTAACCTGATTGGGTTAGTTTTAGAGGTTCGCGAGTTCGATTTTAATCTGATTGGGTTAGTTTTAGAGGTTCACGGGTTCAATTTTAACCCGGTTGGGTTAGTTTTAGAGGTTAACGGGTTTGATTTTAATCCTATTGGGTTAGCGCTGTAGGTTCACGGGTTCAATTCTAACCTGATTGGGGTAAGCTCAGAGGTTCATGGGTTCGATACTTAGCTGATTACATGATCTTGTATATGTGATATAACCTCTGTTTTCCCACCAAGTAACATAACCTCACTTTATGTTTTACTCTGAGTTGTATCAGTTGTTATAGCTTCAAATTCTCCACCAGGTTGCAGCTCCAGCGTCTTTCCAACTACTGTTAAAGCTTAGCTGATCACATGACCTTGTACTGTATATGCATACGTAACATAACCTCACTTTTTACCTAAACAAGTTTATTAATTCATTACTGGAGTGCTAGTGTCGATGGTATTTAATTTAAAATAACAAGTCCCTAGTAATGAATGTATAAAACATACTTAATAAGATTCACTATAATGGTTACTATACTGTTAATTCTATATATGAGTGTATTAAATGTTTGATGTCTAACTATGCTCTGTATAGTTCTTAATATGCAAGTTAAATTGCCTTCCTGCTAACTGTTCTCTCTCCAAATAACATAACCTCACTGTATGTATCTGTAACATAACCTCACTTGTGCACGTAGGAACTGTCATAGGCTTTCCCACCAACTGTTACCGCTAAGTCACCTAACCTCACTTTTTCGCCAAGATCGTAATGCATACGTATAATTACCTCACTTTTTACCGAAACAAGTCTATTAATTTACACTGGAGCACTAGTGTCGACGAAACATGCCTTGGGCTATTTATATTGATGTATTGAATAACAGAATAGCTAGTAAAAATGATTCTATAGTAATGATAACCCTACTTAAACAATTTAATCAACGGTAACTTTTAATAACCTACCCGTATCCCTGTAACTTGTAATTTATCTATTAAACGGATTACATTAATGTATTAAAACTTAAGCACCGTACTTTCACTATTACATGTTCTGTATTTTAAAACATCCAACTAATATACCATCACATTTGTAGGGTGTTGTTTATCCGATATACGAGTGACGTCATCTTTTCGGCATAACACCTGTTGATAGCTACCTTTGCATGTAAACATATTTATGTACTACCTTAACTCAGAGGTACTGGATTTAAAAAACTATCAGTTACCGATTGTTTTAAATCCGGTTGGGGTAATACTTCAATAATGGTAGTGTAATATGTCCCCACCATATTAATCAGCTTTAATGTAATGCCATATATCAGAACAAGTTTATTGTAAAATCTGAAGTTTGTTTAGTTAGAACAACGGAGCACTAGTGTGTGTATGACATTTTATTTCTATGGTTTGTAGCCTTCTTTTTGTGATTGGATGAATTATTGTTCTGAATAACTGAAACGACAAGAAACAAAACATGACCTCTATAAAACATTTGAAGGATGAGTAATTTACCAAGTTAATTTCATACCTCACTTAACTAGTTTAATCAATGGCAATTTTCAAAGACTCACCTTCTGACTGTGGAATACTATCCACTTGAAACTAACTAACTGACACTGGGATTCACTTAATGTTTCACTACAACAGACTACATTAATGTATTAAAACACTGATCATACTTATGAACTGTATCTTTACTACTACCTGTTACCAAAACAGATTACACTAATGTAGTAAAATATGAGAACTGTATACATCTTTCACTATTTCACCATCACATTTGTTGAGTATACCCTACAATAAGTTCATCTTACAACTGAGATCTGTGAGGCTCTTATCAGAGTGCGTTTTCCTCTCTGACGTAACAGGAAGTATTATTTTGTTGAATTATTTAACTTACAGTTACTTTTCAACGGATCAATAAACACATTTTACGTAACTTATGCACTACCTCAC